AGCATGATGGCTGAAAGGGACCTCAGGGTTATGGTCGATCCCCAGTCTCATTTTCCCAGGATGAAAATGGGACTGGCTCACAGGATGAATGTGAGCCATGCTGTTATCGACAGAGCTAATAGCATACTGGGATGCATTATCCAATGCATTGTGAGCAGGGCTAAGGAAGTGATACTTTCTCTCTACTCGGCACTGGTGAGACCCCAGCTGGAGTACTGTGCCCAGTTTTGGGTGCCACACTTCAAAAAAGATGTGGAGAATCTTGACAGGGTCCAGAGAAGGGCCACAAGAATGATTAAGGGCCTGGAGGACAAACCTTGTGAGGAAAAAATAAGGGACCTGGGACTGTTCAGCCTGGGAAAGAAAAGACAGAGGGGGACTTGGTAGCCATCTATATGTATGTAAGGGGTAAATATTGGGAGTTAGGAGAAAAACTGTTCACTAGGGCAACGCTGGGGAGGACGGAACAATGGCCATAAACTGTTAGAGGATGACTTCAGGTTGGATGTAAGGAAGAACTTTATGGTAAGGGTGACCAGAATCTGGAATAGACGTCCGAAGGAAGTTTTGCAGTCCCCAATCTTGGAAGTCTTCAAGAGGAGACTGGGCAGACACCTTGCTGGAATCATCAGATCTTAGCAGTATTCCTGCCCAGAGCAGGGGGGTTGGATTCAATGATATTTCGAGGTCCCTTCTAGCCCTTAATTTCTATGATTCTGTGATACAGTGTCCCTGCACCTGGCTACTGCTGTTGCTATTGCATAGACTCACATTGGTGGGTGTTGGTGGGGAGGGGTGCCATTCTGCCTCACTCATCTACCCCAAGTTATACTACTGGTCAGTGGGAACAGAGGTAAATTGTGCTACACTAATCAGTCGTGATAGAGCCATGCATGCTTCTTCACTTACTTTCTGAAAACAGTAAAAAAGCAGCCACTTGTATATCATAAATATTATATATAGAAGTGTTTTCATCATCAGACCTTATGACAGACATGGAAAGAATATTTCAGAAGCCCTTGTCATTGAGGAGTAGGAGCTGATTCTCAGCTTGTAGAGATCCTCTCTTGAAGTCAATTGAGCTATGGCAATTAACACCAACTGAGGCTCTTCCCCCAACACTCAGGGTGCTTGAATTATTCTTGAGGCCATGGCTGTAATCCCCTTAAGGACTCTGAGTAAATCTTTTAACTCCCTCTGCCTCCATTTCCCTAAGTTGGACCAGGTTAATAAACCTTACCTCTACTTCACAAGAGGCTTATGAGGCTTAATCAATTAATGATGGTAGAGAATGTGTAATAATTTTTTGAATATGTGACTGTTAAAATAGTCATGAATAGCCATATTGAACAACTGGAATGGATTAAAAATACTAGTTTAACTTAATAGAAGCCTTCAGGAGAGCAAGCAAGGAAACAGCACAGTATCTTGGATAATGAATAACAATGATAGCTGAGCTCTTAGGCGGGACAAGGCCACTCCTAGACTCAAAAATATATGTGATACAGATACTGTGACAATGCAAATCCCCTCATGATCAAAAGGATACTAACTTGCTATAAAGACCCCCTGGAGAAAGGGTGGTTGAGGGTAAGTTTTCAGTGACTGTTTAATAGAGATTTTGAGAAAATCACCGATGTAGGCTGTAGCTGAGACGTAGAGGTACACATAGTCAATGTAGAGCTTACCAAATTTTGCAGCCCTGGGGAGAGGGGGAAGGGTCACAAAGGGGACAGGGGAAGGAGAGAGTTTGGGGATGGGTATAGGAGGGGCTGTTTGATCCTCCAGGGAGGAAAACTGTGGCATGCGGCAGGAGGAGAGAGGTTAGGGCACCTGGGGAGTCCAAGGGGAGGGGCTGTTTGCTCCTCTGCGTATATTCTCTGGCACCCCAATTTTTCCTCCCAGAGGAGCAAACAGCCCTTTTCCCTTCCTGGTGTCAGGGTCAAGCTCAGCGCTGAGCTCACCGTCATCACTGCTGACTGGCTGATGCTGAGCTCAGCATCAAACTCACTGCCTGTCAACCCGGAGCCCGGCAGATCAGAGTGGCATTTTTTAAAAAGGAATTTCCTCCCTGCCTGAGGCAATGGCTGCTACAGCTGTTATTGTTGAGGCGGGGCAGGGGAAGAGGGAGAGGGGAGCATTGGCTTTTGAGCAGTGATCAGAGGCCTTGGGAGCAAGGCCTCTGCTGCTGCACTTAAACCTGGCACTAAACTTGCCCCCTGAGCCAATCAGAGGGTATGGGGTAGGGGATGCCACAATCTGGTCATGAAAATGTCAACCCCCACCATGATTGGGCCACGATATTAGTTATCTGGGCCCACAATTTAAACCAGGCTCTATTTATTACAGAACAATTGATCATTTTTCACATACTTTGGTTAAACCAAAATATTTTCTCTTCTTATCTCCAATTTTTTTTTAAAAGACTGGAATATCAAGTACAGTTCATAGTGTACCTTTTACAGAACTGATACATCAAGTTTAGTTTCTAGTCTATTTATTTCAGTAAATGTCACATGTTGTGTACTGTACATGATATAGCTATTCCTCATGCAACGTATTGCATTTGAAGATATGATTTACTAGTAGGAGCTGACACATTTGATTCAAAAGTGAAATCCTTCTTCCCTGTAAACATCACTGACTTAGAAAGGAGCAAATCTTTTTCATTACAAATGATCGTGTTTGCAATGGATGACATTTAGATCAATCCAATATATTGCAAAGCATGTTCTTTTTGATCTTTGCATTTTCTGAAGCAAAGGGCATCAGTGTTTCTCTTGGCTGCATAGGCCCAGGATCTCAAAAAGATCAGTGAACTCCTGTGCATGAGTCACTGTATTGTACAATTATCCATCCATTCCTGCAGCCTCCCTGCCCTTTCTGGTTGCATTGCTGACCACTTTGCTGCAATGGATGATCTGTAGATTGCTCAGCCAAATATTGTATAGGGATCACTGAATGGCAATTACTGCTGGGGGGGAAATATATTAGATAGATTATCTTAATGGGTAGCACTGTAAAACAAAAATTGACTTGAAAATGCAGTATGGGGTTTTCTGAGTGATCAGAGTGACTACAACAGGATGGCCTTCAAATAATTGTTTTCATTTGTTTAATTGGAGACTTATTTTGTCCCACTTATTTTCTGTAAAACAAAAACTTTTTCTGTATAGGTTCAACAAAATATGTAAGTATGTGATTTACTTTAAGCAGGCGCTTAAATGCTTTGGTAAATCAGCAAACAGAAATGAAATAAATTGGTCCTTTAAAACAGGATTGCACATATTTTCTTATTAAGCTATACCTATTTTCACAGCAGCTGTAAAACTGGCACACATCTGTAAACAGTTTTGTGTGGTTTAGCTTCCAATTTGTACCCACTGGCCGTGTCTACAAGAAACGCTTTACTGCGCAGTAGACCAATGTACTGCACAGTAAAATGTTACTGTCTACATGTACAGGTGCTTACTGCACAGTAAATTAGTTAAGGCAAATTGAATTAATTGCATGTGTAGACACGCATGCCAAGAAACAACAATAAATAAGGGTGCTGACAGACAGGAAAAAAATAATAAAACACTTTCATCG